AGCTCCCCCCATCTCTCCAAGAACAGCATTGTTCTGGCTTCCTCTGCTCCAGGTCCTGGGAAGGGGCTGAGCCTCCAGAAGGGGCCAGAAGTCCTGGCCTTTCACCCTGGGCCTGGATGCTAGCCTGGCCTGCAGGCGGGCAGCCACAAAACCAGCATGAGGAGGGCCCTCACCGCCACTGCTGAAGCTCAGTCCCCTCCCGCCCTGCCTGGGCTCCCGCCCCTCCCGGGTTTGTTTGTTTCCCTGCCGCAGCCAGAACGGCCTGTACCGAAGGACGGTGCTGACGGCCAGGGAATCCGTGGGGTCCTAAAGGTCGACTTTCTTCCCTTCCTAGCCCTTCTTCCTCAAATGTCAAAGTTTCCTGGCCTTGGACTTGGATTCAGCACAGGGTCACTGGCACAGAGAAGGTCAGACACTTCAAATGAGCCTCTCCAACACTGCACTATGCTTCCCATGTCCCACACCTCTAGGCGCCTGTCCATCTGTCAGTTTCCCCTCTCTGCAGTACTTCTCACTAGGCCTCCACTGTTACAGTCACCCCACCTCTTTTCCCATCGCCCTCAGTCCTGGGAGAGCTGGGGAAAAAGCTGTGAAGAGGGATGCAGCTCAGTGGTGGAGTGCTTACCCAGCATGTGCGAGGCCCTGGGTTCCATCCCTAGCCTCCCCCACCCCCATAAAAAAAATCTGATGTAAGTCATATATGTTCATGGTAAAAATCCAACAGAGCAGAAGGTGTAAAGTAAAAGTAAAAGCTGCTCCTGCACTGGGCACATGCCTGTAATCCCAGTGGCTCAGGAGGCTGAGGCAGGAGGATCATGAGTTCAAAGCCAGCCTCAGCAATTTAGCAAGGCCTGAGCAACTCAGCAAAACCCTGTCTCTAAATAAAATATAAAAAAGGGCTGTGGATGTGGCTCAGTGGTTAATCCCCAGTTCAATCCCTGGTACAAAAAAAAAAAAAAAAAGCCTCTCCAGCTCTGAGAGATAACTCTGTGCACAGCCTCCTTGTGTCCTGGATGGCCACTGGCATGTTTAAGAGCAAGGGTCCTCAAGGGAACGTTCTTTTTTTCCTCCAGAATGGGATTAGAGTGTACAAATTGTTCTGTGATTTGTTCTTTTCACCCAAGTGTATCTTGGACACCTTTCAAAAATATCCTCTCCCCTCTTTTTTAATTTTGTTTTTCCTGTTGTTGCTGAGGTGCTGGGATGGAACCCAGGGCCTCAGGCATGCTAGGTAAGCACTCTACCTCTGAGCTACATACACCCGAGCAGTCACCTTTCCCTTGTTTTTATTTCCCCCTTTCAGTACTGGGGATTGAACCCAGGGATGCTTTACCACTAAGCTACACCCTCCGCCCTTTTCATGCTTTTATTTTGAGACAGGCTTCACAAAGTTGCTAAGATGCTGAGGTTGTTTTCAAACTTCGATCCTCTTGACTCAGCCTCCTGAGTGGCTGGGATTATAGGCATGTGCTACTGTGTCTTGTTTACTTCTCCCTTTTTAACACCAGATAGTTTTCCATTAGTTGGATGTACTATCCTTTATTTATCTGTTTTCCCACCAGAGACATTGAGGTGGTTTTCCATTTTTGCAAAAGCTATCTAATTAGTCTACCACCCTGGGTCTCAAACCTGCAATCCTCTATCTACACCACTACTAGATTCTAATTTGTCATTCCCAGGTGACACTTCTCCCTGGTGTCAAGGTAATTCTAGGTGTCTACCTCCTCCAGGCTTAACCTCCTCCAGGCAGGGTGTTGCCTTGGAGCTCCTGGCAAGGTGCCCCCCAGGCCTGTCAACTCAGCAGTTTTTGAGCCAGTCTCAGTGCTGCTACCCCAGGGAAATGTTCTTAGGCCTCAGGCTACATGGACACTCACTCATTCTTTCTTTTCCGGCATATTTATTGGGAAGCTCTGGGCTGGACAGTGGCAGATTCAGGATGAAATAGACAGCCCCTGGCCTCCCGCAGCTTGCAGTTTAGTGGGAAAGTCAGGCATCAGACACACATAAACATACTTGCAATTACCAATGCAGTGAGTTCTTTGAAAGAAAATGAGGGAGGGGAAGGACGGGGACCACCAGGGAAGGCTCTCTGAAGAGATGAAAGGCACAATGGAGAGATGCCAGCAGACCATGGGATCTGGTTCCCATCCTGTGTCACTTTTGGCACTTCCCATTTAGCCTCCCCCAATGTGCAATAAGGGAAATCCCCCTTTCAATTTTAACTTTATATGACAATAATAAATGTTATCCAAGTTCATTGGAAACAGAGTTCTCCACTGTCAGGGGCGATCTCTTGCTGATTCCACATTGCCCTGGAGTCACTGGCAGGTTCTAGTTCCATTCAATTCTGGATCATCAATTCTGGATCAAATACTCACTATGCATGTACCATAGGTTTCTGATGCTGGGATAGGGGTGTGTAGAAGGGGAGTGATGTGGGAATGGGGAGATGTTTAAACATTTTAAAACATATGTTCACTAGAAGGAGTTCAGTTTGATGGGGCATCAGACCCAGGACATAATCATTCCAATACAAGCTAATGAGTGAGAAGAAAGCAACTCAGCTGCCGCCATGTCAGCTGCACCTGCTCTGGCCTTGACGCCCTGTACTTCACTCCCCAGGAAGGGGACTTGACTTCCCAAATCTGTTCATGGAGGGCTTTCTGAAGGACCCTCGCCTAGAGAGATGAGCTGGCACTGTGGGTGCCAGGGAGAAGGGCATCTGAGAGGAATACAGTTGTTCTTAACTCGGGATTGAACCCAGGGAACTTGACCACTGAGCCATATCCTTAGGGCCTTGCTAAGTTGCTGAGGCTGGCTTCAAACTCGAAATCCTCCTGCCTCAACCTCCTGAGCCTCTGGGATTACAGGCATGTGTGACTGTGTTCAGCTAGTACAGTTGTTCTTGATATCCATGAAGAATAGGTTCCAGATTCTCGGCTAATACCACAACCTACCCACACTCTAGTCCCTTATATAAAATGGCATAAGATTTGAAAATAAATTATGCCTAATTTCTGATATACTTTAAGTCATCTCTAGGTTATTTACAATACCTAACAATATAATGCTCTGTAAATAGTTGTTATACTATATTGTTCGGGAAAAACATCTGTACTTGTGCAGTACAGACCTGATTTCTCTTTCCTGAATATTTCCTTTTTTAAAAAATTTATTTTTTAGGTGTGGATGGACACAACACAATGCCTTCATCTTTATGTGGTGCTGAGAATCGAACCCGGGTCCCGCCCGTGCTAGGGGGGGCGCTCTACCGCTGAGCCACAATCCCAGCCCCTTTCCTGAATATTTTCAATCCACAGTTGGTCAAATCCATGGATATGGAGGACTGACTGTAATTGTTGTGATGGTAGGAACAAGCTGGAAGGGAATTGAGACCACAGAGGAATGGCATCCCTCAGGGTACAGGGAATCTGGGCAAAGCCAATTATATCAGTGTTGAAAGAAAAATCCCAATGAAAGAAAGGTTAATGTGTGCAAGCATCCTCCTCCCCCCACTCTCCTCAGGGGCCAAGGATTTCTTGCCCCAGATGGGGCACCAGATAAAACAAGATAGAAATCTACTGTTACTTCTGCCAGTCTCACTTCCAGGTCTATATGTCTGTCTCTCTTTAGCATGATAAAAATACTGTAAATTATATGCTTATACTTGTTGATGTTCTCTTTATGATCCACCTTCTGTGGCTGTATATATTTTGCACACATATTACCGTGTAAAGCTGTATACACAAAGCTAGGCATACTGTACTTTATGAAAAATTTAAGAGCTTTTTGGAGATAATTAGAACCATATGTGATTTCCCCCTCCTAGGCTGTGGGAGGGAGATGAACCTAGAGATAGGCAAGGGCCTGCCCTGGAGGTTTGCTAGGCTGAGGCGAGGAGAGGGACTTACTCTAAAGGCAAAGGAGAGCTATTAAAAGGTTCGGAGAGGGAGGCCCTAGAGAGGCTGAGCAAAGGCAAACAAAAGGTTGAGCTCTCTTTACCTGGACCTAAGAAAATAGAGGCGTTTCTACAATCAGTGCACCAAATCCCAAACCAGGTCTGCCCACTCCTCCCTAGGCCTCTGTCCCTGCATCTGTAAAGGAAACCTGTAGGTTGGGGCTGCAGGACCACAGGGTCAAACCTGGCAAAACACAAGGGCCCAAGCTTTAGGCAGTCCCCGGAAAACCCAGAGACAGTGTGATCCAAATCTGAATCGGGGCCGCCCAGCTCTGGAGTCTGCTGTCTCAGGGCTGGGGTGCTGTTTCACCGGCAAAGAGCTTGGGGAAGCTTCCGCAGGCCTGTGGATGCCCTTCTTCCCAGGCCCAGACACTCTTAAAACTTCCTGGTGAGTGAGGCAACACGCTTTGCTGTGCAGCCCTCAGCAAACACGGAGGCTGCACCAAGTGCTAAAGAAAAGCTCCCATAATAACCATGTGTGATAATAAAAAGATAAAGAGGCAAATAGGTATGTAGGTCAGCTCAAAAATAGCCCCCACCCACTTGGCCTGGGTAACCATTTGTGCCAGGTGGGGACAAAGGGTTTGCTGGCTCCCCCTCCCAAGCTCCTCTGCTCTTTACAAGGCTGGGGGCGGCCGGCCGGGGCGGTGCTGAACGGCCCCACTATGGAGGCAGGCCCGCACCCTGCGCCCTAACACCACCGAGTAAATCCCGAGGTCAGAGAGCACCGCGGCTGGCCCCTCGGAAGGGCCAAGTCGGGGTTGGGGTGAGTCACAGATAACCCCCCCACACCCCCCTTAGGTTGTGTGTGCACCCAGGAGGCCTCCCCCACCCCAACAGAGATGGCTTTGTTAGCAGGACCCCGTCGTTACAGCCTCGGGGCTGCGAGGGCCTCCTCCGCCGCCCCTCCCCCTCGCCCTCGCCCTCTCCGCGGCCCTCTCCAGAAAGGCGCCGGCCTCGCCGCCCTGCCCCCACCCAGCCGCCGCCGCCGCAGCAGAAGCGCTGAGCTCAGCATCTCGGCCGGACGGTGGGCGGAGCCTACCTTCTCTCGCGGGAAGGCGGGGTCGGGACGGCCCCGCCCCTCTCCTCGTCCCATTCGCCTTCTATACCCCGCCGTCCCCCCCCCCACCGCCCCAGACGCACGTTTTCCAAGTCACGTTCTCGCTTCCCCCCAGCAGGGGGTGGTGGGGAACGACCCCTCCCCCAAGTCAGCTGCTCCGCATCTGTCACCTCAGCGGCCCGGCTCCCCTGAGAGCGCACCTCGCCTGTGGGGGGAAGGGGAGAGGGACCTGGGGGTCTTCCCTGCCCTGATCCCCCGCTGGCCCCAGACGAGCCACTGCAGACCGCAGGGAAGTGGGGTTCGCTCTTGGGGGCACCAGTTCCCAGAGCCGACCCTAAAAGTTTTGTGTTTCTCTACATTTTTGTTTTGGTTTGGATACTGGAAATTGAACCCAAGGGGTCCTCTACCACTGAGCTACATCCCAATCCTTTTTATTTTTTATTTTGAGACGAGGTCTCCCTAAATTGCTTAGCCAGGGCACGGACTTGGGATCATCCTTCTCTGTCTCCCCAGTAGCTGGGTCACAGGCATGCGCCACCAGGACCGGCTTCTGCATTTGTTTTTTAAGTTAAAATACAATAAAATCAGCAGTGGCTCCTGGGTGCCTATGTCAAAGTCTGTCCCTTTGTGGGTTATAAATGGAACAGCTGGAGCCAGAAGGGGCCCCTCTTCTCACCACTTCCCAGATGGCCCTTGCTGTGGGGCGCCAGAGTCCTCAAGGAGAGGATTCTGGGAGGGTGATGTGGTGAGAGAATCACTGTCACTTCTGGAACTGAAGGTGTCTGGCCAGAGGGAAACCCCTGGGTGTCAATCTGCCTAGCCATTTGAGTCAGCACTGCTGGGCCCTGCTGAATTCTCCAAGAGGAGGAAGAACTTGATCAGATAAAACAAGAGCCAACCCCAGAGAAAGTTTTTGTGTCAATAACTGCATAGGATTGCAAGTGTCCACTCTACCTGTTCTGCGCCCCATTCAACACTCCCACCACCTCCGGCCTTTACATTACCTTTTGGCTCATAACTAAGAGCCTTGGTGGCCAAGGATCAGGAGATTCTCCTAAGTCTAGAGTCAGCTCTAGCCTGCTGACTGGCTGTGTGACCTTAGGCAAGTCACCATACCTATCTGAACTTTCTTCATTTTCTCACCTGTAAAATAACACTGATGATCCCTGACCTTCCTACATATGCTACATAAATATTACTTTTATTAGCAGAGGTGTAAAAATCCTAAAGAATATGAAAGTGTTTTTTTAAAAACGTGGAGAGCCCCATATGGGTTCAAGAGCTTTGTGAGGAGGTGGCAAAATTGCCAGGTGGGACTGGCAGCTCCTACCAACTGCCAGTTCAAGAATTCCAAAGAAAGGTCCAGAATGTAGACCCTGGGCTGCTGCTTTTTGCATAGACCTGAGTTTCCCAAGCCTTTGACTTCTAAGGTCACTGGAGATAAAAATGCATTTCGGGGGTGAGGTTAGAGGTTTGACAAAGGGGTGAGGAAGGAGTTCCCAGGAAGGGAAAGCCAAACTCCTGAAGCCTAACTTGAGGCCTAACTGCATCTCCTAAGGCTCCCTGCCCTGCAGCTCAGCTCCTCATCAGTAGAGTGGGGACAGGGTACTCCCCAGGCCTGCTGGCCCTAACATTTAAAATCTTTAAAGTTCACTCTACTGCCAGAGTCCTAAAAGGGAGAGCAATTAATTGTCTGTGCTGAAGCATCCTAATCTGGTCTACTCACCAGAGCCCTTTGGGAAACCCAGGGGCTGGACCAACCCTCCCCCCACACACACACACACACACAGTTTCTTCTCTGAAAAAAAGGAGAGAAAGAAAGTAAGCTCATTTGGCTGTCTAGGCCATCTGTAAGACTGGATTCTGGCTGCCCACACCGTGACATCTGATCATCCTTGCCGTCACCCCCAGCTCTCTAGCTGGAGGAACAAAGTCCATCCTTTCCCTCTTCCCTCTTTGATATTTGACAGTTGGAAACCCTCAAAAAGTGCTGAGCCCTCTGTAAATGCCTTCTCCAGTAGGGTAGGCCTCCTCCAGACCCCTGACTGTGAACCCCCTGCAGGCCAGGCCTGGTCATTTTTTTTTTTTCTTATTCTTTTTTTGGCCTGGAATTTGGGGAACAGCAGGTCCACTGAACTTGTCATATCTTTTTCCTTTGCTATGGTCCTTGTGGAGGTTGAAGAGGCCTTTGAGATTCTGTAGCTCTGAATTTCAAAACTGGGTTATGAAAATCTCAAAACTTCATAAAGCCACAGGATAAACACAGTGTTTCTTTTTATTAAAATATTTTTGCTGGGAGAGATTCATGTCCCTAGTAATTTAAAAGTTTGCTACTAAAATTAACAGATAAAATATAAAATAGAATGCAGAGTTGTATTGGTTTTTTTTTTGTTTTTTGTTTTTATAAAAACACTGGGCTTCAAAGACATGCTATGCTTCCTGGGGACTGCATCAAGGCTACAGCCTACTAACTTCTGTCCCTGACCCACAGGGCCTGGCCTGGCCTCCAGGAAGTGGCCAGCCATTTAGCTTAGGTTCAGGTACTAACTAAAGAGGGGGCTGCCTATCCCTCCTCCCACTTCATTGCTTTCTTTCGAGGATTTTGTCCCAGGATGGAAGTAAACTGGCAGAAAGCTGTTACCAAGAACAGAGGGGTTTCCAGAGAACCACAGGTTAAGGAAGAGATAGAAGGACGAGGTTTTAAACCTGGCTGTGTCCCTCAGGCAACGAGACAAGAAAGCTGGGTTATTCTCCTGGGCTGTCTGGACCTTTGCTATTGCTGGGAATAAACGTGGGTCTACAGAATCCTAAAGCTGTTTTTCCAGTCGGTGGGCATGAGTGGTTTATCAAGCCAACCCTTTGTGGGGTTAACACTACCTCTGTCCTGTCCCCAGAGGAAATGACTTCTTGTGAACTTAAGACTCCAACAGAATTGGCTATCTGTGAGCTCACTATTGTCATGTGTGGGCCTTGTCTCCGCAGCTGTATGCCCTCACCCACCCATAACCCACCCTGCCTCCACAAGGAGGCCCTTTGATAGTCCGGCGAGCTACCCAGCTTTCATTCCAGGCCCTGTTTTTCTGTCCAAGAGATCAACAGTCATGTCTGTGTTAAAGATGAGCACAGAATTACCCAGATAATTCTGTATAATAGGATCACACCTAACCTGCCCAGTCATTCAGATTGGGCTTGTGGAAATGACCTCCCCCAGTGATTCCAATTTGGGGTGTGTGTGTGTGTGTGTGTGTGTGTGTGTGTGTGTGTTTGTGTGTGTGTGTGAGCACAGGTGCACGCTGGGGATTGAACCAGGGCCTCGTGCATGCTAACCTCAAACTCTCCTGTTGAGCTACAGCCCAAGCCCCTGATTCCAATTGTGAATCAGACTTGAAAGCCCCAGGCTGATGGAAGGATTACTGGGCTCTCTGGGCTTCAGTGTCCGGTCTGTAGAAGTCACTATATTTGTTCCTCAGGGTGCTCGCAGCTAACAAATTTTGAAAGCTTCTTTGAAAGGCTGCAATACATTGTATTGTTAGTATTTCCATTTCAAAAAGCAGCTTCATTTGCAAAAAGACTCCCCACTGAGTCTTTAACTCACCCTTCAGTAGAACAATCAAAATCCTACTTGAAACCCCCGGCTGGCGCCAGCTTTTCAAAAACCATCTTACTAAGCCAGGTGCATTTTATAATCTTGCTATTTTGACCAAGCTGTTTGTTGTTGTTTTAAGTAAAAGAGCCAGGGAAGGCCTGGGAAGACTTTTGCTGGCTTCTTGTCTCCACCTCCTAACCAACACTCCAGCCTCTCCCCGCAGCCCTGACCCTCGGGCTCCTCACTCCACCATTACTACCCCTAGTCAGAAGTTTCCAAAGAGCTGAGAAGACACTGCAAGCCATGCAGGCGAGCTAGCTGGCCTTTGGGGGTTCCCATCTTGAATTCTCGGGTTCCCAGAATCACACCCCCACTCCAAGATCTGGTTTAACTTCCCAAACCCGACTGGGGCAATGTGCCAGACCGAGGCCCTGGGAACGGGTGCATGGGACAGGAACCGCCTGCACAGGGAGGGGCAGGTGGCCAGGAGGGAGTGCTCATTGACTCTAAATTGCAGGCTGCAGTGGGTCCCACGGGAATAGAGCACAGCCCAGAAAGAGGTTTTCTGCATAGTCAGGGCTCAGGACACAGAGGCTGGAACGTGGGGCTTGGTCACCAGCTCCAGAGGTCTGGGTTGCCTAGGCCACAATGACAGCCCACTCATGCAAAGTGGCTGGTTAGTCTCCTACCAGGGTCACCTCAAGGTAGAGTCCATGTTGCGCATTGGGCAGTGAGTGGTAAGTGATCCCAGGAACACTACTCTCCAGAGTAAGCCACTCAGAAGCAGCCCCCAACCCCACCAACAAGGAACATAAACGTCAAAGATGTTTTGAGGGGAGTGACTGTTTGATGGGCACACTGTCCCCTTTGCGAGGACAATGATGTTTTGAAACTATATAGAGGTGACAGTTGCACAACATTTTGAATGTACTAATTGTTTACTTTTTTTTTAAAGAGAGAGAGAGGGAGAGAATTTTTTTAATATTTATTTCTTTTTAATATTTATTTATTATTTGTTTGTATGTGGTGCTGAGGATCGAACCCGGGCCGCATGCTTGCCAGGCAAGCACACATCCCCAGCCCTAATTGTTTACTTTGAACTGGTTAATTTCCTATATGATATTCATCTCAATTAAAAATATTTTGGCTGGGGGTGTAGAGCACTTGTCTAGCAGGTGTGAGTTCTGGGTTCAATCCCCAGCACAGCCCCCACCCCAGTACCATTTTAATTCTTAAAGGGAAAGTCCTTTGTACTGTGTCACCTCTCTCTAGCTTCCTGGGTTGCTACCTATGTTCCAGATGGAAAAAACCAAGTTGCTTAGAAGCCTTGCTTCCAGACCCCACCTGAAAAAGGAAATGTTCAAACATGTCCAAGGCCCTTGGCAGTGCTTGTCGGAAAGGGGATTGGAAGGTAGCATCAAGGTCCTATGAAGGGCCATCCCATTGGCCCAGCTAGATCCTGGCTATCCAGGTGTAGATCTGTGCAATTCTGCAAGAAGCCACCTTCGCGCTTCACCTGGCTATCCATTTATCCGTTCATTCATTATTCATCCAAGGGACACTGACCCAGCCTCTACTAGGCACCTGGTACAGTGCTGGCTACTGCAAGATGAGCAGAACACTATCCTCGAGCATTCCAAGTGGAAACAATCATTAATAAGAGATATACACAGGGTGTGAGAGTGACTTGATGAGGACACCTAAGGGTGAAGGGTTGGGGTAGGGGCGCTGGTGGAAGCAGGTCGGAAGCAGGTCCAGGCAAGCCTGACCTGCAGCCAGATTTGGCCAAGGGCAGTAGGAGCGTGAGGGGAGAACACCAAATGTAAGTTCACAGGCTCTCTGAGGGCTCTGCAGACGCTTGGTTTAGAGGCTAGAAGCTGAGCTGCCCTTTCCAGAAAGGCTCCCTGGGGGCGGGGGAGGAGGGGTAGTGTTTAGGGCAGGAAAGGGTGAATGATGCAATGATAAAGGCTTTCCAGCTCCAGAGACCCTTCTCTCCATCTCCTCAGACAGGTTAAGGAATCCCTCTTCTAGGTTCAAAGGTTCTCCTGGCAGACCAGACATAGGGCCTTGTCCCCCTCTATCTCAGTGTGGATCACACAGGGGGAGACAAGTGAGCCCTCATCCTAAGCCTCTGTCAGTTCTTCTAGCAGGATTCTGTTTATCCTGGGACATACTCCCTGCTAGTCTGGGAAACACCTCCAGGGCCAGGACCCCGTCCTCCCCACACCCACCCACACCCTCTTAAAAAGCAAGAGAAACCAGCCAGAGGGGGTGGTACACAACTCTGAGGGAGGCTGAGGCAGAAGGATCACAAATAAGATGTCACCCTGGGCAACTTAACAAGATCCTGTCTCAAAATTTTAAAAAGGGCTGGAGATATGGTTCATGGTAAACACATCAGTCTTCAGGTTTGGAGAAAGGCGGTGGGGTAGGGAGAGGGGAGCAACATTTATGGATTTATTTTTTTAATTTATTTTTAGTTTTAGGTGGACACAATATCTTTATTTTATTTTTATGTAGTGCTAAGGATCAAACCCAGTGCCCCATGATTGCTAGGGAGCACTCTATCACTGAACCACAACCCCAGCCCGGATTTCTGGGGATTTTTTTAATAATTTTTTTTTTGTGGTTGTAGATGGACAGAATGCCTTCATTTTATTTGTTTATTTTTATGTGGTGCTGAGGATCCAACACCAGTGCCTCACACATGCTAGGCAAGCGCTCTCCCACTGAGCCCCAGCCCCAGCCCTACAGATTTCTTTTGAAAAGAAAATTACCCAGTGCCTATTAACATCACACTTTCCATTTGCGAGAAACTCTTTTATTAACAGTTATTAAAGAGACAGTGAATGAAAAAAAAAAGATGCCGGGCACACCTCTAGGCATATAGTCCATGATGGTGTTTGTTGGATAAATGAGTGATTCCTAATAAACTGACCTTCCCAAACTGACTTTGGATACCTTTGCTCATTACTATCCGCTTAATTTTTTCTATTTTTCTTGGTTAATGTTCCAGATTTTTCTGATATATTTCTTTTCCTTTTTTCTGTCAAAAAGAAAAAAAGGAGAAAAAAGGAAATGAAGGGCTAGAGGTGAAGCTCAGGGTCCAGCACATGCTGTGCATAGCATGCATCAAGCCTGGGTCCAAGCCCTGGGGGGGGGGGAATGGAAGAAAAAGAAAACCACCTTAGTCTGTGCTCAGCTGGTCTGGTGTCCCCAGCTCAGTTAGCCTGGTGGGAGAAATGGATGTTGCTCTTGTAGATTAATTCCCTTATCTCCTCTCCTGAGCAACAGGAAGACTCACTCACACAAGACATCCCCAACTCTTCTTTCCCCCTGAGTCACGGGTGATTTGCTCCAACTCCTTGTCCTTCATCTCATCACCTTGATCTGATGTCTTTAAGGCTCCCAGCAAGTGGTGGAGCCTAAAGGATAGAAAGAGGCATAGGAAGAGGTGGTCAGTGTTCAGGCCTTGGAAGCCTCAGGGCTAAAGACTCTTCTATTTAAGATGTCTCCTAATCTGGGGCCCCTAATTTTTTTCCCATAAATTTGCCCCCTAAAATGATTCTCCAACTGTAAAATGGGAGTAGGAATGCAGGGCTTGGATTGGGCCCTTTGCGGTACCAAGTCTTAGTTTGCCCCATGGTCAGTAGGTCGGACTATTTTTTTTTTAATATTATTTTTTAGGTGTAGATGGACACAACACAATGCCTTTATCTTTATGTGGTGCTGAGGATCGAACCCCGGTCCCGCCCGTGCTAGGCGAGCGCTCCACCACTGAGCCACAATCCCAGCCCCCATAGGTCGGACTTTTTAAAAAAAAAATTAAATTTGGGGTGGGGGTGTGGTGGGGCTGGAGATGGCAGTGGCCTGACTTCTTTGGCATGTGTCACATGTCACGCGCAAGCCTGCCCTGGAGCGAGGCTCGTCGGTCTGATCTGGTTTGGCTCCTACCGGCGGTCCAGAGTGTCTGATGTAAGTTTGGTTCTCTCTTCCATCAGTGTCCGCGTGTCCCGGATTGATAAACCTTTAACGAATAAAGGTCGAGATCGCCCAAACCTCCTCCCACCCCCAGCAACCCACTGTCAGCCCTAGAGCATCGCTGCCAGGCCAAATTTCCTGTGGCCCCGCCTGAATGACGAAACCGGCGATGGCCATTGCACTCTCTGCAATGCTTGTCTGAGATATCGGTTCCCGGTTTGATGAATTCTGAGTCTTTTAGACAAAGCGGGGACAAAGGGCTCTAGGACCTGGCGGACGCCCCCTCTCGCTGCTGCAGGCGGGGGAGGCCGGGCAGCGCTGCTGTCGGTCGGTCCCTAGGGCCCGCGGATGGGTCAGTGTGTCGGTCTGTTGTGGGTCCTTGTTCTCGGCCGCTGGGCCAGGGGGCAGGAGCCCAAGCCCAGAAACGAATTCCTCTGACCACCTACCCAAGGCTTCAGCAGTGCAATGGGAGCGGGTAGGACAGGGGACTAGGCTCGTTTGGGGGCACAGATCTCAAGAACCCATCCTCTGGGGCTCTAGGGTAACAGGCCGACAGGCAGGTGGGACCGCGGGGAGCGGAAGCACCGAGCTCAGAGTTGCTCAGTCTTTGGATTCCACCCCCATCCCGATCCTCTGCACGCAAGGACAGCGTGGAATACGAGCGCGAGAGGTGGCCGGGTTAACGTCTGCCCCCCGCGCCGCGGTCCCACAGGCATCCACTGTGAGCCCAGTTGTGCCTTTGAGTCTCAGGCTCCCAGATGCTAGGGGTGACTGTTTTTTCTGCCCGCCGCCCCCCAAGTTCTCCAGTCTCCCTCGAGCTCGGTCACAGGCTACGCCCTCCCCCAGCAACGCGACCCTATAATAAACAAGTCTTTCCTTGATCCTCCCCTGCCGCGAGCGCCCTCAGGGACCTTGGCAGCTGCAGCCGCCGCGGATCCCTTCCAGAAAGGGGGAGTGGCCACGGCTGGGTGTTCGGCCCGGAGCGTTCCGGGGCTCAAGAGGGGCGGGGCCAAGCCGCTGTCACCGGGCAGGAGAGAACGTTGCGAACGTGCGCCGGGAGCCCATTGGCCGAGGTGGGCCACACTCCCGGGTCTGGATTGGGCCGCGGTGGGAAGGGGGCGTGGCCTCGCCGCTCTAGCCCTTATAGGCTGCTCTGCGCTGGTGCTAGGGATCTCAGCAGGCTAAGGGGGAGGTGCGAGTGGGTTGAAGGGACAGGTCTGGGCAGCGCTCGGGGGTTGGCACCAGTTCGCGCACCCATTCAAGCGGCAGGACGCACTTGTCCCAGCAATTCTCGCTGACCGCACTAGCTGGTGAGTGGCCCTTCTGCGTGTACCGTTCTCTGCGTGGGACGGCCTCGGCGATACTGGTCCTAGCAGTCTTGTTCAGCCCCCAGACTGACGCTCCGCGGTGTCCCTCTTGTCTTTCAGCGGCTTCTGAGCTCCGGGATACCGAGCACATCAGCAAACGTCCTGGCGTCTGACCTCACCATGCCTAGTCTTTGGGACCGCTTCTCGTCCTCCTCTTCTTCATCCGCGTCTCGAACTCCCACCCCAGATCGGCCGCTGCGCTCAGCCTGGGGGTCGGCCGCCCGAGAGGAGGGGCTAGACCGCTGCGCGAGCCTGGAGAGCTCGGACTGCGAGTCCCTGGACAGCAGTAACAGTGGCTTCGGGCCGGAGGAAGGTGAGCAGTGGGCTGGTGCTGAATGAGATGAGGGTCTGGGGAGGTGAGGAAGCACCGCACTGGAAGGGGTCAGAACCATTTTGGTTTTCTATCATCCCAACAGGACCCAGATTGCCCGGGGCGTGGGTATTGGAGTAGAGGGTATACGAATGCGGGGCGGGAACTGGGCAGAAGCTCAGCTTTCTTAGAAAAAAAGCACTTCCCCCGCCTGTGTATCTTCTGTGGAAGCTGCTCTAATACCCTTCCTGATGTGCTCCCCCTCCAGATTCGACATACCTGGATGGCGTGTCCCTTCCCGACTTCGAGCTGCTCAGCGACCCCGAGGATGAGCACCTGTGTGCCAACCTGATGCAGCTGCTGCAGGAAAGCCTGTCCCAGGCGCGACTGGGCTCTCGGCGCCCTGCTCGCCTGCTGATGCCCGGCCAGCTGGTGACCCAGGTGGGCAAAGAACTACTGCGCCTGGCTTACAGCGAGCCTTGCGGCCTGCGGGGGGCACTGCTGGACGTCTGCGTAGAGCAAGGCAAGAGCTGCCACAGCGTGGGCCAGCTGGCTCTCGATCCCAGTCTGGTGCCCACCTTCCAGCTGACCCTCGTGCTGCGCCTGGACTCTCGCCTCTGGCCCAAGATCCAGGGGCTCTTCAGCTCTGCCAACTCTCCTTTCGTCCCTGGCTTTAGCCAGTCCTTAACGCTGAGCACAGGCTTCAGAGTCATCAAGAAGAAGCTGTACAGCTCAGAGCAGCTGCTCATTGAAGAGTGTTGAACTTCGGCCTGGGTGAGGGGCACAGTGCCCCCCACGGCAGAGGCAACGGAACTTTTGGGGTGGAGACCAGCAGTCAGGGGCTGAGGGACTGATGCCTGTGTTAGAAGACTGACAACAGCCACCTGAGGGAAAGAGATGGAGGTGGGGGACTAGTGTTTCCTGGGAAGCTCATGGGGTCTTGCACAGGTGGCTCCCCAGTGGGGCAAATGCCCCTCAGTACTGTAGCATGAAACAAAGGCTTAGGGGCCAATCAGGCTTCTGGCTGGATGTGTATGTAGCATGTACCTTGTTATTTTTATTATTACTGACAGTTAAAACAACAGTGGTGTGACAGAGGCAGGAGGGCAGCTGGGCTGCTCTGGCCTCTGAGGGTTGTGTGTTCATGGTAGTGGCCAGGAGGGAGGGGGGAGTTCTTGGAGGTGGTTTGTATCATGGTCTGAAGGGACCAAGTGTGTTTGTTGTATTTTTTTTTTTTTAATCTTTGTTTTTCGGATTGGAGCTTCACTACTGACCTGTTCTAGGCAGCTATCTTACAGACGCATGAATGTAAGAGTAGGAAGAGCAGGTGTTGGGATCACTTGGAGATCTTTGACACTTGAAGAAAAAAATACACCTGGGAGCTGCGTCCACCCCATCCCCACCCCATTTCTGGAGAGTTGAACTGTGAGGGGATGGGGCTGAGTGGGGCTGGGGGCTGGAACCCCCTCCCCCAGAGGAGTGCCATCTGGGTCTTCCATCTAGAACTGTTTACATGAAGATACTCACTGTTCATGAATACACTTGATGTTCAAGTATTAAGACCTATGCAATATTTTTTACTTTTCTAATAAACATGTTTGTTAAAACAGTTGGTTGAATCTCATCAGTGTCCCGAAATGGAATGGAGAGGGATGGATTCTGATAAAAATTAGGTTTCATCAGACTCTGGGGTCTACCTCCAGTCCTTTCCAGGGCTGCCTGCCAGCCTGGTAACAAGTATATGGACTGCGCTATCTGTGCCAGGAACCCTGGCTCCCTCGGTCTGTGCTGGCTGAAAGCTACCAGGGGAACGTGCTGGAAAGCACCCTGAGGTAAGGGGTGAGTCAGACCTCCCTGGAAGCCAGTCTCAGCAGGGAGAGTTCACCTGACTGCCTGGGTTAGAAGGTCCAGGCACAAAGGCCTCCTGAGCCTAAAGTCCCAAAGAAGAGAGGTTTTCTTCTTGTGAGAAAAGTCACAGTTCTATTTGGTCTGCAGAAATTAAAATTACAAATTTAATATCTGGATAGGAAAAGGTCAAAAGGAGGAGTTTGAAAAGGACTGCTTAGCTCAAGCCTTGCACTAGACAAGGAACTCTGGGCTCAGAGGGACTGAGTGGCCTCTGGGAGGAGGTGTGGCCCAGACAGGTGTGGAACCACCAACACACAACTGTAAGACAATGCCCTTGGTGACTGACTCCTGCACTCTCTGGGCCCCTATTTCCTTATCAGAGAAGTTGAGATTGGGCCAGCTGAAGGCTACAGCCCTTCCCACTTCTCCCTCCCTCCCACACCAACTGGCCCCTGGAGAGTTGTTATCGCCTTTGTTTCTCTTCCTGGTCCCAGACAGGCCCTGTTTGCCCAAGACTATAAAACAGTGGTTCTACCACTTGATTGTGGAGTCAGATTGCTCTGGGCCCTGGGTAATGCTGGCCTGAGGGGAGAGTGGGGCCCCAGGAACATAGGTTTTCAACAGAGATTCTCCTGAACTTTGGAATAGCTTAGAAGACTCACACCTCTTTGGTAAAACTGCAGGAGTTTTTCCCCCAAATGAATGAACTTGGGTTAGAATTAGATTTGCAAATGGATGGTGATGACAGAAGGTGCACAGAGCATATAGTTTTAGGAAGGCCTCACACCAGCATGCTTAGTTCACTCTCCTAATAGCCACCCTGTGGAGGGAGGGGCGGGGGGTTATAGTATTTTACAGATTAGTAGAGGCCCAAGTCCTTGAATAGCCATCTTCTTGGACATGGGCTGACCTTGGCCAT